CGCGCCATTATTAAAAAGCATTTAATTTCCGCAAATCGTAACATCCATCCTACGTCATTCGAATAAGGACACAAGGAGATTTCAAGCTTTCCTTGTTAGATCTTATAACAAGTCGACGCAACACGTGGTGCACCGTCCTTGTCTAACGCGCACTCTTAAAGAAGTAATAGTGGCTTCCATATTTTGGCCAAATTAATCAAACGAGGCCTGGAAAGATTCAAAATGTTTACTGCAAATAATTAAAAAAACGTCACCAGAACCACAACAGAAACCTAAACACAAAATCGAATTAGTCGCTGGCCAATACCTTCGTATGTACCTGTTTTTATAACACTCACTCACTTGGGGTCTTACACTGAGCCGGCTGGGCGTTTGGCCCATTATTCTCACTTGATTTGGTCCCATATAGGAACAAAAGGAGTACTCATTCCATCTTAAAACAATTGTTTTCTATAAGGAGTCCTCTAAAGCAAATACCATGGGGATAGTAAAAAATTATCCTTCCCTGCGTATGTACAACTCGTAAGACCTTGCAATTCTTCCGAGCGTGTTCTGGATTACTGTTTTTCCCCAAAATGGAAAGGATGGAATAAACCATCCATTACTACTTGAGTTACCCTATCTAAGGATCAAACCAAAGACACAACGCCAACAACGTAAAAAATGATACCCTATGAAAGGCTCGAGATCCACAAAAACCATACCCTATCAGGCGGTACTTACCTATCTAGCCCATCCATATAAGGGATTATATCCCCCCCGAAGACTTCACGTGTCACTTGGCAAGCAAACATGGATTTGGACTACGAATGCCAGGTTTTTTTAATTGTTGCTTTAGTTATTTCAATATTTTTGAATTTAAACATGATTCATCTCTTTTTGGTGATATGTCACAGGAAGTTTCATGTCTTTCATAAAAGCGTTTCTAGTTGGTCACGTGATTAATCAAGACGAAAAAATTTAGAGCGTAAGACATGCATGTTTGACCAAAGTAAATGTTACGGAGATGTTACGTGGTAGCAGACGTCATCATCTTTGCTTATGAAGTACCATGCATATTTTGGCATTATATTAATGTTGACGAAGTAAGTTGAATCACTCTCAAAAAATTATTACAAAGTGCGATGGAATTATTACAAATTGCAACAGCTTACTTTATTGCAAAGTGCGATGGACTGTTGTTACAAATTACGACAGCTTTTTTATTACAAAGTGCGACACGGTTTATTACAAATTGCGACAGGTATTACAAAGTGCGATGGATTTATTACAAATTGCGACAGGTATTACAAAGTGCGATGATTATTACAAATTGCGACAGTACAGGCTCTATTTTCGTTTCGCTTTGAAAATTACATTCCGGCGGGCATGGCGAAACGAAACAATTTTAGCGGTAGCCGTTAGAGAGAATGTATGAGAACCGCTAAAATTGGGCCTGATCTCAGGTTAAAAGCAAAGCGTCCATTTATATACTTTTGACTATTGAAAACTAAAAATTAGAACCAATAAGCTTCAACCTATTTCCATTCAATTTTGCGAGAAACATTCACTCGGTTCCAAGCCTCCTCTAGTAACTCAGATAGCGCCTAATGGCCTGGGTACGAGGCCGCTCTATTTGAACTTCATGAGTTCTCTTCGCCCCTAAACTTCATGATCTTTTTTACTATTAACAGAAACCATAAATTTCATGTCATTTTTAAATTGAAAACTGTTCTTACAATTTCCTCCTATTATTTCGGAAAAGGCTTACAGTCGTGTTAACTTTATCTGTAACGAAAGTAACCATTCTCTAAAAAAAACGACCTCAAGAAAATAACTGGCGAGACCCAATGTCGATTTACATTAAATTGTGCTGCCTAATGAATCCACTCAATATTGGGCTTCATTAATTTCTTGATCATTCTAATGTTGCAAGGTCGTGTGTTTATTTGCGAGTGGTACATCACTCAGACTAGTCTTCAACTAATTGTGGGTATGAACGAAATGGCTTACCAATCTATTCCTTTGCAGTTTGTTTGAGGTCATTAACGTGAATATTTTTCGCAAAACGAATGGAGATTGGAAACTTAACTTAACGTCAAGACCGTACGTTTTGTCAATAAAAACGGAGCAAAAAGCTAACTGAAAGAATCTTTGTTTAGGATGAAAATGACAACTTATTAAAATTTGCCGAAGATGCTCTTGGCCTCAAAGGGCAAGATACGGGAAGCCAGGTTAATGAGAAGTTAAATTCCCAAACTGACTGAAAATGAGGTAAGAAGCCAGATTTACTGACACAAAAAAGAGCTAAGAAGTTCGTCTCATCACTAAGAAGAACGGTATCCCCCAAAGAACAATGACAATTGCTTGATCGGTTGATACCCAAGGGCTTTGTTTGAAAACGGATCTTTTTTCCGATCTGCCCTATCGTTCATACGTATCAGGTGAAAACGGTCCTCAAAAACGGAACTTTTCAAAAATGCTCTCCAGAGTGGAGATTTTTGAAAACGCCCACTTTTCGTTTACGTGCGGACGAACGAAACTCGTTGGTTTTCGAATACGATGTGATGACATCATGTGCATCATCGCGTCATCGATACTTTTAGTATGACGCATGCTTCGTAAGGGATGCTATAGTATTTCCATCGTTTTAGCGTTTTCGCGTGTACAGGCGAAGACGATTCCAATACGCTACATATGGATACGTATTTCTAAGTGTGCGGACGAGGCCTCAGTCTTTACGAAACAGGGCGAGAACATTTCAGTGAATGTTGTTTGCAATAGAGCATTTTTTCGTGACGTCATTTCCGCCATATTGGTGTCCCAAACAATGAAGAAAGAATGAAACGCCAGCCATGTCGGTGTTCCAATGCATAGCTGATGGCCATGTGAGGCTGGCGTTGACCATGTTTTATACAATCCTTACTGCTTTCTTATGCAAATCATGTTGTCCTTTGGCTAACTAGTATATTTCAAGCATAATTTTCATAAGAACTGTAAGAAAGCAAAGAAGGTTTGCACCAAAACAAAGTCAACCTCACCCAGTGACACATTCACTCCGGAAGGCTAAGGTACTAAAACTACGAGTAAATTATCTATCTAAATGTACCGGTATTTTGTAATTTCTTTTCAGACTTTAGGATGCAGCCCAAATCAGAACCTTTGAAGGAGGAAATGTGTTTTCTATATGAATGCTTTGCTAAATTAAATCCTGACGTTATCTTGCCGGTATCTTGTCTTGGTTATCAAACTTCTTTTATTTGTTCACCCTTACCGTATTATTTAATCGTTTCTGAAGCTTTTCACACACAAAAAAAACAAACATGGAACAAATTCTTTGAACGTAATACAGTAGCATAGGATGCATGCTCTAGAATCCGTGATTGCGAAAGTTGTAAACGTCGCTGATAAAATAGACTTTTGTATAACCCTTATAACCCTTTAACTTTCTCCAGATTTTTATTGCTTACAAAAAAAAATAACAATGGACTGAAAAAACGCAAAATCCGTTGTTGAGTTCAGCAATTTGGCTACCCTGCGAGCAGAAGTTACACTTTCGCGGTGTCATGAACCGAAACCTGTGTACAGGGGGGAGGCTGTACACAGTGTACACAATTCACAGCACGAAAATGTAGGTTCTACTCGACACGAGGGCACAAAATGCTGACGTCTGAAGAGCAAAAATTCAAATTTCTGTTTTATTATTTCAATTACATCATGGTAGTTTAGCAATACGATACCCGGCGAGCAGAGGCTACGTTTTCGCTGTGTGAGCTCGTGCGAAAAGTAGCCTCTGCCGACAACCGTTCAATTGTCTATCGAGATGCGATTGGCAAGCAAAATTAATTGTCAGGTCTGTCGTCAAATGGCGCGAGTTTCCCGGGAATAAAAAAAATGCGACAACTCTGATCTGCTACGCAAGACTCACGCAATGCTCTAAACCGGTCAAGAAAAGGAAAAAAACCGGTTTTTTTACTTCATTCGTCCAGATTTCTGGACGGAATTGAACGGTAGTCGGCAGAGGCTACTTTTCGCACGCCAGCTTACACAGCGAAAATCTTTAATCTTTAATCTTTAATCACAGTTCGTAACCATACATAACTGATACAAATGAACTAATACTAACATATACAATCGAACAAAAACACAAAAATGGTTAACAGGACGGTAGTAGGGGGAAACCAAATTCCCATGCTAAGACATACCTTCCAAAAAAGAAAAAGGAAAAAAAAAAAAAAAAAATTAATTAATATATAAACATATATTAAAAGACTATAAATTAGACTATAAATTATAAACCTAGATGCCTAATAATAATGCATAAACTTATATTAAAGACACTATGCCTAATATTTTAAGGTAAATTATGAGCGAAGGTACTTAATCAGTGAAACTTTAAAAGACTGAAGGCTAGGAGATGACATTACTTCAGAAGGCAAAGAGTTCCAATCATTAACATATCTATGAAAAAATGAATATTTAAAATAATTTGTACCGGCAACTTTAGGCCTTATTTTATACTCATGCTTACTTCTAGTTCGAGTTATTCCAATAATATCAAAGTAATGATGGCAATTGATATCACAGTAACCAAATATAATCTTAAAATGTAGCCTCTGCTCGCAGGGTAGCAATACGAAGGCGCTCACTTTTAATTTGACCTTATTTTACATAAGGTTAGAAAATTTTAATTTAAAAAAAATTGCTTCTGAATCATTTCCGTACACTAGATGTTTGGATTTTTGTCTGCTAGGGGTTAAAAAGGATAAAAGAAATTGCACGCCTTCTTGAAATACAGCATATATCTTGACGACAAGCATTATGGGGAAATACGTTTATTGACTACAATTACTTTAATGCACATTTTTAAAACTAAAATACAAAAATTTCTTCGAATTAACATAAGAATTAAACTAATTTGGGAAAATTCCCCTGAACTAAAATGCAAAAGTTCCAGCATTTCTTAGTTCTGATAATTGTGTGATAGTCTAGTCTCTTGATTTACTTTACTTTTCATTGCTTCAAGAGCTACGAAATAGCCTGCGAATTCGTCTGAACCCACAGCAAAAGCACTCCGAAGCTCTCCGCAAGTTTCGTAATATCTTCCTGGTAAAGGTTCGCATGGATACCTTTTTGGTAACTGGTAAATTGCAACCCTGGTGAGGAGACTCTCGAGAAGAAATCGAATCAGATGCGGCATTAGAATTCAGGGAAAGTGAGCTTAAAGAACCTTCTGTAAGCTGCTTTGTAATTCGATCGTCAAGCTTTGCTAGGAAGTCTGATGTATCTGCGCTTGTATCGTGCTCAAACTCTCTAGCCAGTGTTAATGCATTCAAACCGTCTTTGTCTTTCTGATAAGGGTTTCCTCCCCTGTCGATCAGAAGTTTGAGGCAGTTAACACGGTTCCACATGGCAGCTACGTGAATAGGTGTCAGGCCTTCCGCAGAGGCAATATCTGGATTACCACCATAGTCTAACAGAAGGCGGGTGAAGCGGATATTAAGAGGAGCCTCTAGTCCTACAGCAACGTGAAGAGCACTTAAACCGTTCACCAAGATATTAGGGTCAGCGCCACGTCTTAATAACATCACGGCACGTCTGATAAGACAAACGCAAATATATATCAGACGATATTAAAAAACAAAGCGCTTCTTTTATTAATCAGTCAAGTAAATGCACAAATGATAGCGGGAAAACAAACTCACGAACCTGATGTTTTCGTTTTCTACTGCACATTGAAGTCTCTCTGATAGTTTCTCTGCTTCAAGTTTATTTTCGCCAGCACTTATTGATATAAAAAAAAGAAAATATTAAGAAGGAATCATCAAGAAATTGAGTAATTTTAATTTTCAGTGGACAAAAACCTTGTACCAGAATAATTTCAATCATATGGCAATCTTTTTACACTTTTCGAGGGCTATAAATGTATTAAGTTATACTATTATTATAATTTATTATATCATAATATATATAATTTAGCCAGGGCTAAAGCGAAGCTCTCGTTAATATACTTATAATTTACTCAAACAAAAAATAAAATCGAGCAATGCTAAATGACGACGGCAACGAGAACTGCAAAAAAATAGATTAGTCTAATTAGTCTAACTTTGCACGTGTAGCACACTTAATTGTACATTTCTTTGCTGTTGTTTTGCACGACCACAGCGTGAAACTTTCTAGTTACACATTTTGACCATTTTATGGAAAAAATGTCGTATGAGCTCACCAAAGATTTTGTTGCTTGTGTTCCTGTTCGCTTTCTTTTTTTCATTGCCGCTCATTTTTACCTTGCTGGCTTCTCCTTGCAGACCTCTAGCATTTCTAGTTTTCTCACAGAACTTCACAGCCGATATAAAATTTTCATGTTGTTTTTCCGACAAACCTCTCCTAGTTTGTTTTTTATCTCTCGCTCTAGCTCTTTCTCTATTATCCACGTCAGTGTAGACATTAAAACTCAACTTTGTTAACGTTTTTTTTTTGTCTAAAAGTCCCGGAGACCACGCAATTTCGAGCCAAAAACCTCGAGTCTGGATTGCCATACCTATTGATTGAGTTATTTTACATTGGTATGCCTGTGGTGCGGACGGACACAGGGGACGAGCGGACTACGGTCACGTGACTACCAGAATTTCTCGGATGCATAGATAACCAAATTTTCTTGCTCATGGTCCGCGTATGAGAGCTCCGCTATGAAATAACCCTAAAGAAAAGGTTCTTAAGGGAGCTTAAGAAAACAAACTTCAAAAGCTTTAAATTTTACAAAATGAAATCTTACGCATGACGATTTTACCTGCGTTTTCGCAATTCCTATGAATTTTGAATTTTTTTTTCTCGGGCTCCCATAGGAACCTTTTCTTTGGAGTTATTTCATATAACCAAGAGACGATAAAGAGGACAGAGAAGGCATCCCCCATACACACCCTATTCCATAGGTAATTCGTCTCGAGTTATTTTTAAGACTATAGATCCCAAGCGCTAATGTGTTCCGCGTGGATGACCCACGCTCAGAGCCACGCGTCCTTCACGAATTGACGCAGAAAAACATGGCCGAAGACGCGGAGAGCGATATTGCCATTTGTTTTGTCGACGAAAACGACTAAAGAGAGATTTCTGTTAAAGCTGTGTCAGCGAAACGAAAATTAAAAAAGAATCGCCCTTCCTCTCTTGTATAGAGCTAACAACACACTGAATATTCTCTCAGGATCATTTATAATTTACAGTTTGAAGAGAGCAATTTCTGGTTTGATACTTATTCTTTTATTAGTCTTTTACTATTCAACAAAAATAACACTTAGCGTCCTACTTGCTTTATAATACAAACGACCGGTTTCAATAGACCGGCGAAATTTCTCATTTCATTAAAGCACTGAGGTTATGACAACTTCGAGTTAAACTGATTTCACGGGTTGTCAAAGAGTCTAGCGATTTCCTTTTCCCAGGTGAGCGCCGACTCATTTCGCTTCAATATTCAGAAATGCTCTTGATCTCTTTACGCTTCCATTGCCTTTTGCCCGACATGTTTTGCACGGCGTTTAATCATGCGGAACCTCCACAAAACATCCACGTAGCGCGCGAGGTAACTTTATCTCGATTCTAAAAATAACTCGAGACGAATTACCTATGGAACAGGGTGTGTATGGAGGGTGCCTTCTCTGTCCCCTTTATCCTCTCTTGATATAACTTATTACATTTATAGCTCTTGAAAAGTGTAAAAAAATGCGATATGGGTTAAAAATTCTAGTACAAGGGTGTTGTCCACTTAAAATTAAAATCACTTCATGCAAGTCTACATAACTGTACAAAAAAAATTCGGCTTGGGATTTGAGCTTAAATCTGTACTTCTGCTTTTAGAATTTTGATTTTAAAATATTTTTACGGTTGCAAAATCCCCAGTTCTATCGCATTCATGCAACTCCCTCTTAACATGTCTGAAAAATGCTCCAGATTGCTTCAGAATTAAAACCCTTAACCTCCGGTTTACTCGTGCAGCGCTCTTTAAAAGTAACATTGGTGCTGGTGTCAATTGTGTCCTCATTTACTCCCTTTCAAGAAATGAATGTAAGAGATCTGTTTGCTAGAAGTGGATTATGAGTAAACCATGGAGGTTATTCGTGTTTTTAGGCACGAATTTTGAGCTAGTTTCTGTGCCAATCTCTTAATAACCAACAAAAGAAGTCATAACTCCTCCAAAGACTCAGCCCTATAGTGCATTTTGACACAACAGCGACCCATTCTTAAAAGCAAACGAGTAAGGTCAGGTGACCGCTATTTAACCACCCATAGTATACCACACAAATGTAGGCGGAGCGATTCGGTCGAATTTTTCCTTTCTAGTTAAATTCTCTTTACCATTGATGTTGGTGGAACTTCACAAAGTGAACCCTGCGGTTTCTAGGTATTATGGTTCACTTAAAGATACGTAGTAAGAAGTATTGTTGCTTAATAAAACAACCATAAAATGATTCAGCCCTACATCTTCATACTCCTTCCACAAAAAAAAACCGCGCACATATTACCTGTTACTTTGTTGACTATCGTCTCTCTGTTGTTTATTGACTTGTGTGGCTTCTTCAGATGATGAGGTGTTGCTACAGGAGTTTGCTGCTGATGGCGACACAGATGAACTCACCGAATGCAACACTGATGTTAATGATGACTTTCTTGAGTCTATGTTACCCTTTTCAGCTGTTTCCAAAGGAGTTACTTCACTAGTGCAAAGTTTGGCTTTTTTAATCTGCAAAAAATTGTTTTTTTAGTGATTTCCTTGGGGCATAACCCCTAGACCTTAATTTTGTGCGGCTTAATAATCGTTCGCTCGTCTCTGATAAATAACCAAACTCAATAATACACTGATCTCGAGCTCGATCTAAGTGCTACACACTATCAGCAAATCGATTTGATCAATCTTTTAGCGGGACGGATAAGGATATGTAATGTTTGTTTACTGAGCGCCACTGGTCACGAACGTGACGCTTTGCAATCTGGCAAAACCTGGAAGGAAAATTTTCATTAACAATACACCTGTAACAGATTTCAAAGAAGACGTTTACAAGGGGCTGACTTAGATTATGCGCCATGACCTTGAACAGTGCCAGTCATACCTGTTTCTCCAAAATCGTGAGATATTCGCACTGTTTACAATAACATTTGCTCACTGTTTTGTCTTCATTCTCCTCACTGGAATAGACGACAGAGGTTTGGTAGTCTTTTTCTTGGTGGGTTGCTACGTATATCAATTCAAAAGAGACTGATTTTATTATCATAACGTGTTACTTAATTTTTTTGTTACCCTAACCCATGGTCTTACAGATCAGTTGAGAAATTTATTGATGGGACTATTAACTTTTTGCGATAATTGGTATGCTTTTAGCTTGTAGACCAAGTTAAAGTATTGACTAAAAAAAGCGAGAACACTCTTGAACAAAAGAAAAAGAAACCTAGATTAAAATTGAACCTCGAGTTATGGCTAATCACCCCTTTAAAAGATTTGCTCCCTGGGTTTGGTTTCATATTGTACGAGTGACTGTATTTTTTACGACCCATCATGTGGTTTCTAGGTATAAGAGTTGGAGAAGATTGGGTAAACGTAGTAAATTCGATAGCTTTCGATGAAAATCTAAACAATGGGTATCAAGGACGGTAACTTTTGGTCTTTTGCCCCAAAATTTTATAAGTTTTTATACGTAAGAGTACATGCACATCAGTAACGGTTTTGTAATGTTATTTCCCAATAAATGCTAACATACCGTAAAATTCCGAAAATAAGCCCCTCCATGTATAAGCCCCTCCAAATATAAGCCCCCAAAATCGTAACACAAAAGACCCTCCGTCAAATCGCCCCTCCGAATATAAGCCCCCGGGGGGCTTGTACTTGGAATTTGCCCTCGAATACAAAGTAAAACAAAGCAAAAATGGTAAGTTTCCTTCCCACTACCAAGCTAGCCCCATCCATTTTGAAACGCAAATTTCCCTCCGTACGTAAGCCCCTCCGAATATAAGCTGCTCAAAAAGGGCGTTTGAAAAATATAAGCCCCGGGGCTTATTTTCGGAATTTTACGGTAGCCTGAATTTCATCCGATTACCTCTAGTCGTTATTACTCCCTCAGTAACGTCGTTACTGAGGGAGTAATAACGACTCGAAGTAATCAGATGAAATTCAGGTTAGCAGTAATATAGATTAGGGTAACTTTTCCTTATGTCCCAAATCTAAAACTAGTTTTGTTTACCTTTCATTTGCTTGGGCTTCTTCTTCTGAATTTCCTTCAATCTTTTCCTGTAAAGGAAATGGAGGAGTCAATTTAATAAAATTTTAACAACTGTAATTTACAAGTGTAGTACCTATTTTTTTGTTTGAGAGTCTGAAAACAATAGCCACACTTGTAAATTATACTTGCAAAAGTTTTATTGAATTTTGACCAGGGAGTCAGGTGCACATGATTTGCAATGAAAGCACTATCATTTTAATCAGCATCCCTCTACAATTAATCCAGAAATGAACATTTCGTCAAATTTACCTTCTGATTCGTTCCATCAGAAGGCCGCCGTTCGAAGGAAGTTTAGTGCAATCTAAAACAAAGCGAAGAAATCGGTTACCATTGAGCCTTTATTCACCATTATTAAAAGCACTAAAAAAAGTATGAAGTTTACTTTGTTGTTTGAGGATTGAACATTGGTGAACTCTTGCGCTGGTTCTTCTTTAATTTCCTCCATAGTTGCCTATCAAGATAAGATAAAGCGCCCTTATGAAGTACTATTGATACAAAGAAAAAATCGAAAAGTGAACATTTGCATGGTATACTAGTAAGGTATTTGAAGAAGCGATGACAGAAAGAAAATAAAATCAGGATTGTTTACGTTTGCGTTAGTAGCAGACTGTTGCAGGTTTTGTAAAAGATCTCCTTTATCTGCGTTGTGTTGGGTTTCTTCTAATAAAGGTAGATCGTTTTCTTCTGAGTTTCTGGAAAGTAAAGAGCTGTGATGCCATAGAATGCAGTAAAAAGTAAAAATCATAAAAGGTACAAAATGAAGCTTAGGGCGTTTTCCAATTGTCAGAACTGTCTGGCCAGACCAGCCCTGTCGTCAGGAGAATTCCAATATTAATCAGACTATCTAGCCAGATCAGATTATTTGTTAATGGTTTATACAAGGCAATGATGGGTTGAATAAAACTTTCAAGAAAAGACTTATTTCGAAACATTTCATTTCAATAATATCACCGGTCTAGCTGGCCAGTTCTGACTTGGAAAGCGCCCTTAGTTTGTGACAGTCCATGCACAATCAATGCTCGTTAACAGATAGCAGACACACCCATCGTTTTTAACTATTTCAACCAAGTTCTAAGCTAATTGAAAAAAATGATCGACCAAAACAACCAAAAAAAGAGTTTTTCCAATAGAACACGACCTTAGTTACATTATTTTAAAATGAAAAAATCAAGAGGGACTCTGTCCCTGATTATGCTCTGCTATATGTGAATGTGAATTCTTAGTTGTGATCGCCGAGAATTTTGCTCATTTTGAATACTTTGCTAATAGAACAAGATCACTGCGTCAATCGCACCCTTCGAATTAAAAAAGAGAAAGTTGTGGTGGAAATTTAAGAGAAAAGAGCAAAGTTTGTCTCGCCAAAGGGTTGTCAACAAACCGATAAAGTCAAATTGAGTTCAATGCCAGCAAAAGTTTACCACTAAAGAAGAAAAAAACGTGTTCTTACCTTGGACTTGTACTTGCTGTTGCGCTAGGGGTTAACACTGCAAGAAAGCAAGAAATTATAGGTTCCACAAGATTCTGTTGCAATTTAGAAGATAAAAAGCATGCGTTTATACAAGATTTCGATTTCTGAGAGAAAGTATGTCTTTCCCACGTAAGTCCTCATGTACGTCAAGCCAACTAATCCAAGTGAACCGGCACGACTTTATTATAATAGCTTTGAAAGTAATTTTACATGTTAAAATACAGTTCGCTTAGATAGGCTAAGCTGAAATGCGGATATTTTGAAAACGATTTTCCAAAGCTTATCTAAAACGTTGCGGTATAAACAGTAAAGGCAATAAGCCGTACATTCACCTTAATTCTAACATGGAAAGCTCAGCTCTTAGAAGTCATTAATTTACTAGTTTATTTATTGATAACAACACTAATTAGCAACTTACATGACCTTCTTTGATAGAACAGTATATATGCTTCGCTATAACAATTGATACTGGGCATCTCCTAGATTTAACACAGTAATAAAATAATATTAACAGAAATAAAACAAACTCTCAGGTATCTTCTTGAAATAACGCGAGCTCCACATTTTACTTTGCACGTTCAGACCAGCCGGCAGGGGGGGGGAGGTGGGGGGAGGCAGGGCATGGGGTGGCGATTTGACATTTTTCAAAAATTTGCAGTCAAATTCCCTGCCCACGGGCAAATCATTCCAGTCAAATGCAACCAAATTTCCCCACCCCGGGCTAGCTATCAAATATCCCAAGGCAGAACCCAAGAAAGGCACAATGAAAATATCTCCAAATAAAACTCTACAATCTTTATTTATAAACGTTGCTGCATCACCAAAAGATACATGTTCCTGTTACAGCTGCAGTTACACGTTTTAACCAAAATCCGTGTTACACTGCGTAGAATACAGAAACCTTTCAGGAGAAAGTCCACATTTTGTAAGTTTAAATACACCAGTGTTAGTAAAGGGTACAAAGAAAGTCACTTTTACAAGCTTTATACAGCGATTGTAGCAAATGAGCCATACACTGATCAATTGTACTTGCAATAATCGATTTGGTTTTTCTTTATTTCCGTTTACTTTGATACCACAGGATCTTATGAGGTTCAGTTGATCAAAAACACGCTAAAACAAACGAAATTTGAAGACAAAACAGTGAAATCCACTAAGCTTTCGCTTGTTCCCGTTGGCCTCCATGATTTCCAGACCGTATGGCGCATGCGTGAAGCGTGCAAGCGAGAAACGTATGTTCGGTCTAAGTCTTTTTCGTTCGAGTCGGCAGTCAAAAATCTCCACGTCGGGCGAAGAAAGATTCAAATATCCCCTCCCCTGGGAGAACAAGATCAGTCAAATGCCCCATCCCAGGGCCAACAAAGACAATCAAATTCCCACGCCATGCCCTGCCTCCCCCCCCTCCCCCCCCTGCCGGCATAACAGTAATAAAACCGTGAAAGGTTTGAACCCAGGAGTCATTTCAAAAGTAGGTTGAGTTTGATCGTCCGGGTGAACGTAGTCCTGAATAGGACTGTTATTGTTGACAGTGACTGACGTTTCGACAACCCGTGCGGTAGTCATCTTCAGAGTCAAAGTGAGTTGTATCACGTCAGTTGATGGTATTATACTCTGGTTATTGATTATTATTATTGTTATTGGTTTCAATATTACTTTATTATTATATTATTATTTATTATTGTTATTGGTTTTAATAACCACAGTATAATACCATCAACTGACGTGATACAACTCACTTTGACTCTGAAGTTGACTACCGCACAGATTGTCGAAACGTCAGTCACTGTCAACAATAACAGTCCTATTCAAGACTACGTTCACCCGGACGATCAAACTCAACCTACTTTTGATAACATTGATAGGTGCATAAGAATGCCGCGAACCTTGGGGATAATACCAATTTTTGGCCAAAGACAGACAGCTCAAGGATAACTTTAGATGAACATAGAAACTAGAGAGAGAGTTTTCATTTCCTTCCGTTACCTTGGTGACATGGCAGTCATCATATCGGTACCAGACTTTATTTGTGTTGGTGTATGACGTGTAATGACCGCTGGAGTAACCTAAAATAGATCAATTACCCTGCGTTACTGCGTACTTGGTACTTATTGCAAACGTCTTTTTATACAATGGTCGAGTATCTAATTCAGTCTCACACTCTCACGCCATTCATTCAACTAACATTCAAAGGGCACTGTAGAAAGTCTCGTTTTATTTGTAGGATACTTACTTCCCTGATGACAAACACAGCCAATTAGATCATACAGGAACTGTTCCGGTGGACAATCTTCTAACTGAGTGTATTCACACACGTCAAGTCCTTCTAGAGGGAATTCTACTGGAGTGGTAATCTTGACACCATTTTGACTGTACCTATTGTTCAAAAGACATGTATAGTTTAGCCAATGATCCAGTAAACTTTGAGTAAAAAGATGATCAGTCAAGGTGTAAAGTCCCGCTTTTCATTACTTCATCGTAAAGAAAAGAAAAAGATGCTTTCTCTGACACAGCTGCAGCGATAATCTTTCTGACTAATCTTGCAGTCATGTTTTTTAGAGTAGGTCAAGATAATTAAATAACTCACCTTTTAAGATGAATTACAAGAGTGTCAGGCAATCTGCAGATAGAAAGCGCTTTAAAAGCATTTCTTTCCTCGTGGCACTTTTGACAAAACCAGGTGTCGGGTAATTTCTCGCTACAAAAGAAAATAAAATTCCATTACATTAAGCTGGGAGTCATAACGCCTGAGTGTACTTTTAAGCTGGCTCTTCTTTTCTTTGAATATATTAGTAACTAGGATATCTATCATAACATATAGATTAAGCCAGGGCTAAACTGAGCGAAGCCTCCGTTTATATACTTATAAATAAAAGCAATTAACTTAAATATAATAAACTTTAAGCTACTAAAAAGAATACTCTTTTACAGAGAGGGAAAATATCCGACAAATACAACTGAAATGAAAACACCATTAAGCTAAGAGTCTTATGCTTATAGCAAAAAATCTTTTTAATTGACAATACTCTTTGGTGGCAGCCAATTTACAGGTTACGATTTCTAGAGTCATGGAGCATCAGCGAAAACTTCACTTTTAAAATGAATTCGCGTTTCTTCAAACCTTCTCGGATTCATTGCAATTCGCTGAAAATGTCAAACGTAGGAGATTCTCTAGGAATAGGTTTCTTGGGGACCGCACTAGAGTTTAGGAAGAGAGAGAAAAATTTGCCGTCGCTTGTTTACGTCCTCCATAAAACGTGTAATTAGACATTTTCACGTCGTAATCGTGCATTGAAGACAAAGAAACACGTGATACACGTGTAAAGTTGTTGTTTTTCTTAAAAAACGTTTGCCGTTCTCGTTGTCATTGCCGTCGTCGTTACCAAAGCTCCCTGATAGGAAAGACCTAAAAGAAAATTCGGGCCCACGTTTGTGTTCGCCATAAGTTTACTATGTTTTCTTTCTATCTGGTCCGAAATGGAACAGTTATATGTAAGCTTCTTTAGAAAGTGCGACCAAGCTAAAAGCACATCCTTAAAACCATATTTTCCGAAGTAAGTCAAACAAAAAAAATTCAATGTCTTTTCTGTAAAAACTCCATTGGCTTCCTCTAGGTGAAAAGATTAACGTTTCGCCAAGTCTTGGATTCACCGTTCTTCCTCTTCAGAATCTACTCGTCCCTCCCTGCCAGTGCGTACGGGGCGGACGGGTGTACGCTGACGGCATAACCAAATTTTCTCGCATCGGTATAGGTTTCCGTTTTCTACAGCAAGCGCGGCTTGGCGCTCGAGCAGAGGCTCCGCTATAATGCCAAGTAAAATCTCTCAGGACTATGTATAGAAACTGAGTCGTAACGAACAATTGAATAATGAAGTCGCCCTCGCTTGCCACCGTGTTGGATTGCATGACTGACTCACCTTTCTACAAACCGTTTTAAGCAGTGCTCCAGCTTCAGAGGATCTTCTCTTTTTCGAGGTTTCCAAATTGATTCGTGCTCAGTACAACGACTCATCTAATAAAATTTTGGTGAAACAAGTTAATGCTGACCAGTTCTCATTGGTGACAGCCCATACTGAAAATTTACGACTTTAAAATACACTGAATACTCCACAGAGAAGAAGGGTATTGACCGTTTTATAATCGTAGAGAAAAAAGGAGAACACAACAACCTAAAATAAGATGGTTTTGTTCTTGTCAGCAGTGAACTACTAATTTACTGGATCAGTAAATAATTAAAAATTCACCAATTAAATACAAGAGAAGATATTAAGAGCAATGAAAACAACCATAGTGCACAGATGGTCAATATTCGTTCTGTTGTCGAATGCATTTGTGTTATGTGCTTCTTACAGTACCATAATGCCGGCTGCTGATATGCGTTGGTACCAGTTTTAATGCTCTCCTCACCCTTTCTGCCTCCCAGCGACCAATGGTTGTTAGTTGCACCGCTAGATTGTCACATGACTGGAGAGAAAGAATGGCCTCCTTATTCACTTGGCAACCACCACAGCCAGTTATTCTTGTACAGCGTGAACAGTGCCGTCCCTATGAATGAGTGTATAGATTATCTTAATATAGTGAAAACATTGAAATATAGATTACTAACAGTTTTTGCAAAATTGACGTAACTACATCTGTAACTTTATTTTGCTTTAGCTACATAAAAATAATCAAATTCTTTCTTTTAATAAATACATATATACAAAATGCTGTATATTTTGGCTGCAATTATGTGTGCAAAAATTGTTTAAGTATCAATGTCATATTAACGTAAGGAGAATGTTACAATACCCTGAGTGCTACTGAGAAGCTCTTCTAGGGCGCCTTGAATAAACGCACCACTCACCTGTTGCTCTACTAGATGCAAAGTAAAAGCAGGAACTGAGGCTGAATCCTGCTCTTCTCTTATTGGCTCAGGTAACATTTTTTCTATGAATGCGTACAAATCTTTTCCATGAATGTTCTTGGATACTATTATCAGGTTAGGATGTCCAAATAGCCTCTTTGTCTAAAGTAAACATAATCCGTCTGTTATTTAATGTAACGAGACTGCCAAGTACACGAACAAAGGAACAATCATTACTCTAGCAATAGAGTTATAACTGCCATAAAGCAAGCAAAATCTCATTCCAACTGGTCTACAGAGTTATAGCAACAAGTGCTAGGGAATGCAGGTAAATGGTTTCTTTCCATCCTGGACGTATAACCACAAATTACATTGCAACGGAAACAATTCATTCGCTTTTAATTTTTTAACTTGACTTTCAGGTAATGTGCGGTGCGCATCGCATATTACTTATGTTATATCAATAAACTGCGAGCTTGTCATTTTAGGGTATCTGTACAAGCGGATATAGAAGACGTGAAAGTGGAACATCTGGTACATACGAGACAACGAATAGATGTACCCCCTTAAATCGCATGCATTATTTAGTAAAATCTGCGACTTATGCAGTCAGAAAAAAGCATTTCAAACTGGGAAATATTCTTGTCAGTATTATCAGGTAAAGAAAAATTCATATACTAGAGAGAGATAAAAAGTCGTTCCTTTTCGGCATGCAACAAGCTGTTTTCTATACCTGCCAACTCTCACGCCTTAGGCGTGAGTCTCACGCCTGCGGGTTGAAAACTTCGATCTCACGCCCGCTCACGCCTGCGGACCAATTTCTCACGCCTGATTGAAAAATGTGAGTTGTTGCCGTCTTGCTTGACACAGTTTCCAAAAATATGTTAACTCAGACCCATGTAAGGAACGAAAACCATGTGTAAAATGAATAAATGACAATACCTTCCTCGCGATCTCTGATTTTGTGGATAAGCGTTTTCTCGATAACTTCGCCTTCGGCAGATTTCGGACGTCTTCGGAAGACTTCGGACTTCTTCGGGAATCTTCGGAAATGATCGTGTCGTTTTCAAATATCCCAGCACTCCCAGGATAAAAATCTCACGCCTACATCTCAGAAAAAGTTGGCAGGTATAGTTTTCTATATTTTCAGCTTAAATGAGACAAGCTCTCCAAAGCTTAGTTTTAAAGGTCTTTAAAAAAATAAAAGTAGTTCGTAGTCTTTCTTCGTTTTACCCTGTTAAGTAGACATTTTCGACCGAAAGCCATATAAACTAGACGTGTAATATGCTCTTGTTATTGCAATATAACCAACTACCTACCCATCTTTCCTGATAACAAGATTAGGATCAATCAAAATACCTTAGAATCCTCCTCGAACCTCCTTAAGACAACTGGAACAAGAACCATCCTACAATCACAACACAACGCGCGCATTAAAACCTAAAAAGGTCAATTTTAGGTAATTCGTTGATATCGTCGCTTCACTCGTTTTTCTCCATCAGTAGTGAGAAACAAATAAAGGAATATATATTGAGTTTTTACTTGATGAGGAGTTGGAAAAGGGGAAAAAAACCCAAAGAAACATGATACATAAAAAACAAATGCTAACCATCAAAGGATACAAAGTTTCACCAAATTGACCATCAACAGCCATTGAGATTTTTCCACGAAGTTAACTGATTTGATGAAGTTCATCTTTGCAGTCCTAAACCCCCTTCAAAAAAATTTATGGCAAAGCTAAAATTTTACAAAAAGCTGATTGGTTTGTCTTTTCATTGGCTGAAGCAGCTGAGGGAAACTTTCTTGGTTGGGGTTAATTTGGTATAGACCGTTTTGGATTTTGCAGTTTGGAAAGCGTTATAACTAAGTAAGATCCAGTTAGATTATTTATTTATCCACGTAACGTCTAGTGAGCTAAATACGTACGTGCTAACATAAAAGTGTTTTAAAATACAAAAAATTTCGATTGATTGATTAATTGATTGATTTATTGAGGTACATGATCCTGTAAGATATAAATTTGTTGAAAATTTTTCTTTCCATCTCTAAGGAACTGGGCGTAAGCAATTGAATAATAATACCTCGCGGGTTTATCAGGTTCCAGTTCACGCCGCGACAGAGTGACTGCTGCTTGTTTAGCGCATCTCTGTCGGAGTAAACAATACGTTTCAACAAGCACAAACAAAAAACTGGTAGTCATCGAAGTTTCCTAAAATGGCCAGCAATGGTATGCCGTTCCAAAGCGTTCAAAGATCAAGCGGCCTGCACGGCTGCCATACTCAGATTAAAAGGTAAAAATACCACATTTAATAAGAGCCTTTCATCTAAAATGTCATAATTGGTGAACTGAGAATATATTTCTGCCAGAGGTAAAATTCTGACTTGGTAGTTGGATAGTCGTTTTATCTGTACTTAAGTACAAAAAGGCCAACACCACGTAGAAAGTCTTTGTAAACCTACTAACTTTTCAAGACTTTTAGACGTCAAAGCAAGGATTGCTTCGTTAGTAAAAAAAAACATTTATTGCAAAGTGTCTACCAAAAGGATCAACCCAATATGCGATTCTTGTCATCTGGCAATTAGGAACAAGTAAGACAACCAAGCTATGGTCATCACAAGAAAGAACCCATGGAAATACAACCCAACTACCACCACAGACGAGTCGTAGGTGGTGCATTGTAGAATTTGCAGGGCACTTACCGGGCAACACAAATGATTCTCAACAGCACCACCCGCAGCATCCTGCCACAAAAAAAAAAATTTTGATGCACATAAATATATCTTCTTGCACCTTGTCAATCTCTCTGCAATCCAGTCTCAAAAATGTTTAAAAATTAAATTCAAAAGAATAATTAAGAGCGGCCAGGTCTTTTGTGCAAAAGTTTCTTCCACCGGTAATCACAATATTGATTTAACCGTACTTAGTACCACACACATCTGAAGAATTTTACATATAATGTGAATGATCGTGAAAGGGTTGGGCAGATATTTTACCCGAATTCTCTGTTACGAATGCTCTGTTGCTCCTCTTTTTTTCTTTCAGCATGTGATCTCATTATCTTACATGACACCACGATCAGGAGGCAATGTCATGAATTTTAAACCCATCATTCAACAATTCCAAGGTTGGTTTGTACCTACCTGTAGACACTGGCGACAAAACAAACTTCCGCACTTGTCGTGTGAAATGAGTTCATTATCTGATATTTTTTCCTCCAAACAGATACAGCATGTGCCACTTAAATGATATACATTTGATATTGATGCACGTGTTCTCTGTCCAGGTGTCTTTGGAGTGCTGGTATCAGGGTTCACCAGTCTGGTAAGATGGTTTTTACTCACTGGTGAAGACACACTTTGAAGTTCATCAAGTGCTGACATAAATTCTGGGGTGTTGGCAACGTCAGGTGAATAGAACACGGTGGAGTCTCTCCCCGCGAGGCAAGACAATGAGGTGCTTTTTTCGTCTTCTTGCACAGAAGGAGACTCGGGTACCTGGCAAGGTTTAACTATATACAATTTACTGCGACGGTCGGTAAATGGCGTTAATTGTTGCCCGTCCTCCTTCAGTCGTAAAAGAAAAAAAAATGAAGATTAAGTTAGATTATTCAAGCTGTTTTTTTCCTTGCCAATTCACGAAGATGACCGTAAAACCTTCTGAACCGCACAGAACTCACAAAACGGATGTTTTAAGCAGCAAACGGACTCACCATGATCGAGATTATTTGGCTGTTTCTCACCACGCACACCACGATGTCTTTTAGTTGTGGCGTCTCCTTCTCAGCTGTGAGCAGGGAAAGGAAGTTGCTTTTTAATTTAAGTACGGTGCTTGGTTTGGTCACTTGGACTTTATATCTACGACAGAAAACAAAATGTATTTTACTTTATCACTTTACCTTTTTCTTTCATTAGATCCCATGAAACAACCGCAAAAAAGAGAGTTCACTAAGATGGACCTGGACTGAGAAATACAAAATAAGCCGAGACTAGGTTGTGCAGTCCTACAAGAGTAGAAAGACACCTTTAACAAAGACAAAACATTATCAAAGAGTAGTTGAGACAAAGAATGTTAGACAATAGTATTTAAGAGCCCATGACTGTAAATATCGAGAATCGCTGGCCAGGCTAAAAAAATCGAAAATTCTGATAATTTGTCAGAAAAACCCCTTTGGGGAACTATCTTCGAAAAAAATATTTTTAACTTTCAAGAATCTATATAATAGTGTTCGAGAAAATGAGGAAAAACGAAAATAGCGGTTTTTACCTAATTAATTATGCAAAAATTAGATTAAAAATGGCCTACTTTATCGCGTCGGTACCGAGGCAAGATTCAAAGCTATAGAACAAAAATATTTTCGTTTAAAAGCATTTTATCTTTTCTATCCATGGTATGTTTTAAACCATAAACACGATTTTGAATTTTTTGCGGTTTTTTAAAAACTACAACCAAGCGCACTTTTTAAAATGGTAAAAAATGAGCAACTTCAAAGGCAAAAAACTCACCTTGGTATGTGCGATACCTAGCCAAAATGTACACTAGGACAAAGTTCAGCTCTTATATTAACAGAATATGAAATAAAAAATTTGGGTACTCCAGATTCGCCTTTACAAAATAAACAGTTTCGTGACCACCAATGCAAAAGGTCACAAATTTGCATAAGTCAAATTTGTGGAGAAATGATGCCGCCTGACTTCTCTTTCTAGTTTCGGATCATGGTATATTCGAAACGTAGGAGAAAGGATGAAAGCGCCTTTAAATGAAGCTAAAATTAAGTAAAGGATCAGAAAAATTGATATCCCTGATAACAAATAGCTGTGAAGGTTGGTGACACAATGTGGCAAATTTGCATAATGCATCGGCATATTCCTATCGTAACTGTCAGCATCACGCAATATTTGAGGCTTAAGAATAGCATAACCAAGAGAATAGCTAATGTTAAATGTTTTTTAATTAGTATGTTAGCTCTTCTTAATTGTACATTACAAAATTAAGATTGCTCACAAATTGTGTTCGGGTGTTGGAGTACTGTATTCTGCAATTGCGTGACCGTTGCCAAACTCAGCACAGTCACACTTTATTTTTACCGGTACGATAAAAAAATGTGAGGTTATGAAGTGTGTAAAGAAATATTATTCATGTTAGATGACTTAACTTTGTTTAATTCACCTAAATGAGTTTCGTAGCCATACATCTTTCTTGGAGTGGGCACATGCTTTTATGGTACCGATAGTTCATTCATCAAGGCATTTTAGGGGATTTGCCATTAATACTATACATCAGACCGTAAGTTTTCAATCAATAAAAATCCGAAACAGTTAATTATCTTAGAAGTTTTTCAAAGTTATATTTTGGTGAAATTGTCAAGTCTCGCTTATTAAAAATAACGTAAGTAAAGACAAGATTAAAGTAATCATTGCCCCCTTTTCTCTCTTTTCTGAAATTCTTCCACCTCCTCTGTCTGCCTCTTCACTGTTCGTGCGTTCAACACTATTAAGTCCAGACATGATTTCGAACACCCAAAGATGGTCAAAGATCGCCAAGTGGACCGACCCGTAATTGTGCCATTGATTAGCTGAAACCTTCATTGAACGCTCAATAGAAAAAAGAAATCAGATGGAGGGAGTACTGCACTGGGGTCGTTTTGGTGTTTTTTTTTTTTTTTTTTTTTAACCAAGAATATCGTAAAATTCCGAAAATAAGCCCCGGGGCTTATATTTTTCAAAGGCCCTTTTTGAGGGGCTTATATTCAGAGGGGCTAATCTATGGAGGGAATTTTGTGTTTCAAAATCGATTGGGCTAACCTTACAGTTGGAAGGAAATTTACCGTTTTTGCTTTGTTTTACCTTGTATTTGAGGGCAATTTCCAAGTAGCAGCCCCGGGGGGCTTATATATGGAGGGGCGATTTAACGGACGGTTTTTTGCGTTACAAGTTTGGGGACCTATATTTGAAGGTGCTTAAGAAGAAAGGCAAAGGGAAAAAAGAGAGCGGAAGAGAAAGATCGATATAGGTTCGTAAGAGACGTCCAAATTTTGGCTTCTATGAATGCGCCAAAAAAGCTTCTAAATTAGTGTACGTCCAATTTAGCAGTCTTGTGTTGCAAATCTCTTTTTCAGCCATTCCCACATCATGCTAACTGGCTAGCCTCAGTAATCGGCTCCTGCTAGCCTGCATAACAGGCGTGCGTTTTTCAGGCGAGCGAAGGCAAGCCCGAAGCCGGAGCGAATGCAAGCGCGAACAGCGTGAGGAGCGTCATTAAGGGGTAGGTCTGGGGCGGAATGCAACAAAACAATAGTATGTGGACAGGCCGTTGTTTTTTCTGCGTCTTCCCCATCGCGCTTGTCTTGCCTTCGCTCGCCTGCAAAAACACGAAAAAATAAGGCCTGTTTTCCAGGCTACTCACTGGTTGAAAACCGGTCCAAAAAGGCTGGGTTTTCTTCCACTAAAATTGGCCGTCAAAAAAGAGTTAAAGGGGCTATGCCAAGCTATTTGCTAGTTCATTTTAAAAACCTAATATGGTCTTCATTTCACATCAATTCAGTTCAAAAATAATGGTCCAGTTTTGTTATGTAAGACTATATTTAGGCACGGTCTGTTGCTACTGATGGCCAGGATGGACATGGACTGAAAATTGAAAAAAATGGGCCATCTTTTTCAAGTTTAAATGTATCACCCAAAAAGATATTTTTGGTTAGTGCTTTCTTATAAAATGATATCTTCTTCATACCCCACATGTAACTCTACACTGAACATTTTTTGACTGGGTAAAGGCAGTAAGTAATGACTTTAGCACAGAATCAGCCTAAAGCAACAAATATACTCGCCACATAGGGCCTCGATTTGGGGTCTTCTTTCCCTTTTGTCTGAAGCTATTTCCTTCTTTACTTTGGGAAACGGTTAGGCGTAAAGAAAACCGCCGATCCCACTTACTTGCCTCGTTATGTTATTTAGCTCCTTAGTCGCTATCAACTGCCCTGCGAGCAGAGGCCCTTTGATCTTCCTAAATAAGTTGGGAAGAGGAAGAGAAGAGTAGCTATCAACTAAATAATAATTCGATCGGACGTTCCTTTGTGAAGGCGCGAGCTGGGACGGGAACTGACGTTAATACTCCTGAGCAAAAGCAGACATTTCTTTGAACAAAACTCGGGTCTGTTGTAAACTCAAAATTGTAGTCAAGTTACGCTTTTACTCTGCGTCACCTTACTGCCCGGTTAGTAAAAGGTACTTACGTCGATACAAGTTCGTTGCGCATACTGCTATATGCCAGGAGCGTCAAGGATGACCTTTCTGATACTTCTCTTTTCAAGATGATGCTACGTTTTGCAAGCACTCGACATGGGTGGGAGCAAGCACTCGACATGGGTGGGAGTTGATTAGAGCAGCTCAAAAGAGGTGAACAAGGAGTCTTATCTTCCATGGACAAATCCTAGTCGCATCGTCGTGAAAGGGATTTACTCTGTTGAAGTACAGTTGAACCTCCATGTGCGACTTCCTCCCTTAAGCGACCACCTATCCAAAACACTAAAACCCACCCAGTTTAAGTCTTCCAGCTGGAATCTCTCCTGCAAGCGCCAGCGACCACTAATTGGGGCTGACGGTTTAATGATTTTGCATTGTTTTTAAACTCTTGTAAGCGATCCCTTGTGGTAGAAACAACATCAACATGGAACTGCACATATCGTAACTTGGAAATTGCATGCAATAAATTATCTTCCTTAAAGTAGATGTGTCCGGTTTTCTTCTCAAAGAACCCTCCGTGGTTCGATTCTCGTAAGAGACCACCTTCCGTTAGCGACCACTAAGTCTTCGCATTTTGGGTGGTCGCTTTCGGGAGGTCGACTGTAGTCTCCTTTTCCAGTCCTTCGGCGGCGTCGGTTGGAACTTGCTTTGTTTCATGAGTTGCGCGTATAGATTTACACACTAAGGCGCTGCTACATTATATTTTGAAATCACTGAACAAATATCATTTTGTATTTGAAGGAAAACGCCCTTGGCAGGTGATACAACTCGAGATGACCTAAAAGGGCAGTTTTGCGGGAAAGATGTTTCGGATTCGTTTCGGAGGAGAGAAACCGCTGGAACTCATGAACTACGATAACTTAGCTGTTTCCTAGGGCCTTTGGTAGCTGCTTAATTATACCTCTATTTGTGGAAAAGTAAAAAAAATAAATAAATAAATCAAGGGACGGTTTGTTGTTTGTAATACGTAGTAAAAAATCAGATTTCAACATCTCTGTCAAGAAAATTCTAACTTTTAGTGCGTGACTGACAGGCATGCAAAATTAGTATCCCTTCTTTCTGAAAATAAAATAAAACGAGAAACAAATGATGTTGCGAACAACGCATTGCCTGTTCAAAACAAAGTTTCCATAGAATTTCATAAGGAGAAAAAAATCAGTAAAAGAAGGCGGAGCTGCTCGAGACGTCGTTGCGTGACATTGTTACTCTAACTCTTAGTTTATGACTTCCTCGCACGAGTCGAAATGTATCCCGTTCGCAAAAAACCTCCTTCAAAACAAAATTTCAAGGAAAATGTACCTACCTATTTTAGATATACCAGAGGCGAATTTAAGATGATACAGATGGATGCTAATACAAGGAAGTTAGGAAAAAAAACAGAGACATGGGATATAGTTTACATAATAGTCCGGCGCTTTTACATAACGCTTCTTCGAGTTCGTTTTTTTTATTTATTTTTTTTTTTTGTGAACGGTTAATTACTCTGATATTTTAACATAAACTTTATCAAAAAACGTTTTCTTGCTTCGTGATGTTTCCGAACATCACATACTGACCTTGAACTGAAACAAAACCGGCTGCCGCAACATTTCTTTACAAATTTGACTTATGCAAATTTGTGACCTTTTGCCACTGGTGGTCACGAAACTGTTTATTTTGTAAAGGCGAATCCGGAGTACCCAGATTTTTATTTCATATTCTGTTAATATAAGAGCTGAACTTTGTCCTAGTATACATTTTGGCTAGGTATCACATATACCAAGGTGAGTTTTTTGCCTTTGAAGTTGCTCATTTTTTACCCATTTTAAAAAGTGCGCTTGGTTGTAGTTTTAGAAAAACCGTAAAAAATTCAAAATCGTGTTTATGGTTTAAAACATACCATGGATAGAAAAAAAGATAAAATGCTTTTAAACAAAAATATTTCTGTTTTATAGCTTTGAATCTTGCCTCGGTACCAACGTGATAAAGTAGACCATTTTTACCCTAATTTTTGCATAATTAATTAGGTAAAAACCGCTATTTTCGTTTTTCCTCATTTTCTCGAACACTATAGATTCTTGAAAGTTAAAAATACTTTTTTCGAAGATAGTTCCCCAAAGGGGTTTTTCTGACAAATAATCAGAATGTTCGATTTTTTTAGCCTGGCCAGCGATTCTCGATATTTACAGTCATGGGCTCTTAAGGCTTGAATTTTGATTCTTTTATCAGACGCATTGTATGAATAGTCAATCATGCGTCTTAGAACAGGCTCCGAGATAATCGGGTCTGCGAACGAAAATAAAACGGGAGGAAACTGGGGAGAGGAAGGACGGATCTCCTTTCTTTTTCCTGCCACCGCCCCCTTTTGCTCAGATCACGCTCTCGTATTTTCGCGTGCTTTTCACTTACGCGTTATCCTAACCCCAGATCAGGCGGTTTTTTTTTTTTGCTTCTCTGCTTCTTTGGCTTAAGAGGGAAAACAGAAAACAGATTACGGAGATAAAGGGAGAGGGTATGATCGCAGGCTAACGTTATCCGTACTATCTGAGAGCCTGAAACAGGCAACTTTATTTTTAAATTGGCCGCCTAGGAATACTGACCCTGGATACCCGAGGTTCTTTCCTATTGCTAAATAATGTTAAGCTGCAAACTAACCAACGAGTGGATTTGGTTAAATTACACCTCTGATATATTTACAGAACGCACTTCTGGAGCAAGAATGATAGCACGCTTCTGCTTGGTTTGAGAGTAAAACATACCTGACTGCTGACAACGTGTTTCCTTGACTTGTGTTCGGGGTGTAGCTGTAGACCCATGTGACAACTAAGAAAAGCAAAATAAATACATAGGTTAATTATTCATCAATTCTTCACTATCTTAACCCAAGACATAGACATATACGCCTTAACAGTCATTTCATCATTTTAGCATTTTATCTAAAGAAAATACTACGTGAGCTCTAAATGTACCCCTTCTTAGAGCTGCAAGGAGCCGATCGGCTCCTGGAGCTGTATATTAAGGAAGGGTGGACTTATGATTGAAATTTTTTTATATTATTGAAACCCCAGTCACTTAAAACACTGGCGGTTGAAGAGATCTAGATTAAAATAACTATATTTACCAAATGTGTGATATGATTCACTCAAGATTGGAACAGAAAGAAAAGTAAACGGCTGATATTTAACTGATTCGTGGTTGCAGTTAGAACAAGTGACCTGAGAAGACAAAAGTGGATCCAAACATAAGTTGATGGAAATGCACTAAAGAAATGATAGCGGTGCTCGACGCGCACGCGAACGCAGCCCCGCGAAGCAAAGTAAATATCCGAGAAATTTTGGTAGTCACTTGACCGTACGTCCATCTGTCCGTCCGCACCACAGGGCATCTGATGTAAAATGTCACACCTTATGTCTGGTGTGGGAGCCTGCAACCTGATATTGCACATCCATGTTTTGGTCAATTGACACCCACTGACCAGTATCACATGACTGTATCGCGGTTTCAGGTGTCGACACATCGAGGTGGCGAGTTTTTTTTATGTTATCCGCTGATAAGTCACTATTTTTCAACTAATCGCAGGCTCAACTCCAGGCGGATTTGCAATACAGGTAGAGGTTCTCCAAATGGACACTCAGGAAGCGGACAGCTCTACTTCACAAAACCTCGTTTTTCTTAACTCCCATGCAAATTCTGTATATTTACATTCCTGTCAACGGCCAGCCCCAGTTACGGACACCCTTTTGCGTCAAGAGGGTATCCACTCCCGAGAGCTTCCACTGTAGTTACAAGTTTATTGTGTGCAGTAGATGATTAACGGAAGCTTCGCCTTTAGCCTTAGCTAAATCTATTTATTAGTGATGTACTTTGCAATTCTTCAAAGCCAAACTGAATAAACTTATTGAGACGGTAGTATTGTCTGACATATGTGAACAGCTTTGGACCGTGACCCACAGAAGACTCACCTTGCTCTGAAGTTGCCCTTGAAAAGTATCCACAATAAGAGATTCATTGCTCATCGTGTATTGTCTGAAAATATCGTTACTGTATGAATGGCTGAACAAACAAATTGCCATACTTTTTTCTCTTCATTTTGAGAGGTTACGCCAGCGGAAAATGGCAAATTAATTTTTCACCCACCCTTCTTTACCTCGTGGAAATATTTTCTTTGTAAAAAATACAGTAAACTCCCGCTTATAAGCCTGCTATTTATAGGCCCATCTACGCGAAGACATTTTTAAGAAGACTTTTATTTCGTCATCCTGCCTAAAGTACAATTAAATGATTCGGTTTGAATGCTTTTATATATTATATGCATGAATTTTTAATATTTTTAATATTGGTGTATTGTAAATTATTCTATTTTTAGCTTAGTTTTATTTGTAAATACCCAATTCAGCCCAGGCTGCCTATTTATTTATTTTTAATAAGCTATCTATCTATCTATCTACCTCGAAGACAAAAAATAAATCCGGTTATAAGCCCCCCTCTAGCTTGTATTGAAATGAATTCGTATTTTGACCAGCAATGCTAAGTAGCTTGTTTTCAAACGTTATTTTCTTAGTCCGGTTATAATTCCTCTAATTATAAGCTCTCTAAAACCCCTGACGAAATTGTATAAGGCCAGTGCTCATAAGCGGAAATTTACAGTATACTATGCCTTAAGGTTGATCTACAAACGCGCGTAATTAAAGTAGAGGTAATGCATGGACGGTCGTGTGTAAACGTAAAAAGTTAAATCTCGTTCAACTTTTACGTTTTACACGCTGCCTTTCATACATCGCCCCTATTCCATTTCGGCATGTCACGGTACAGTTTACGCGCGTACGCTCGTAAAAATTACGCGAAAGTTAGAAATCCATCCTTAGACTTATTCTAACTCTAGAACTAAAACTTTGTAAAGCTGTTAAAACTTGTGTTCTTTTAATGCAAAGTCACAACAATAAGCATTAAACAAGTTGCATAAAGCCGAGTTACACGAATTCCACGGCATTTTATTCAGCTATTTTCAAGGTGTTTACATTGTTAGCTTCACTCTGAATTTGTGCTATAGTGATCTGTGTTACACACTGAAGGACTTTGGTTTAAAAGTTGTTCATATTTAGGTTGGGGGTGGGGTAAATGAATGACCGTTCACTACTAAAAAATTCGTAGCGCTTGTACGACTCCACTTCGTTTGCAAGGATTTACCATAGGGTTGGAATTAGTTAATAAATACCTCATCTTACCTCCACTTCTCTTCTGCGCTAACATTGTTATCAGACTGGTCAGGAAATAACGATGGTAAGGTTGAAGAGTTGAGTTCCCGGTGAAGTCCATCAAGAAATAGTGCAAGAAATTCATGACAGTCATGCTGAAAAAACAAGAACAATTAGCAATACAGTAACTCTTCCTAATAGAAATAATTTCCTATAAAACATTTTTAATAGATATAGAGTATAAAAATAGAAGTACTGCATCCTTCCCTCCCCCCTGAAAAAAAGAGAGAAAATATTATGGACTTTTCTGTCACCTGTCTCTGCCTGTTAAGCTGAGTAGGAAAGTGCGCAGTTATTGCTTTATATAGCTCACTAGGATCACACTGTAGATAGCACCCACTCCAAACCTTCTTAACTAAATCAGCCAAGTGCTTACTCAGAGAAACCTGAAACCAAAGATAACAAAGAAGCCACTTCAACTTGTACTTTTAATGTAGTGGCAAAGGGATAGACGTCCAGAGCTTGGAAAAAGTTTAATTGCAGCCTCTTCTTTGGAAAAGAAGATCTCGCATTTTCCTTGCCCAGAGACCATTGCTTGCTTAGTAGGTAATCTAGTTACACGAGATGACTTCTTCGGACCTTTGACCACTGGGCATTGAGCTCAAAAAACTTACTTGTCCCACTGCATGAAAATCTACTTGTACCGGACGACCGGGCAGACGAGACTATTTTCAGAACGCCGACATGCTAGGAGTTAAGACCACCGATCCTACACATAACGACGTAGAGGTATGTTGTGGAAGATTTAGCAACGCCACTTGGTAATACTGAAGAATTTCTCGAAACACTTCAGGGTATCGAAAAAGAGAGGAGGATTGGCAACAAAAGTCAACAGCATAATATGATGAATGTACTGATCGTCTCTAAAGTTTGAAAGATTTTAACTCTAGGTTTACCTGATTTTCTTTATAGCTCTTATGAGTTACTGTGTTGTGGCCCCCACCTAAACAATAAAGGAAGTAAAATGTCTGCAAATGTTTCGTCAAGTTAAACAACACTTAGCTACATTTGGCTCAGGCAGGGAAGTCAAAGAACACAAACCTAAAAAGAATCGGCAGAATGGGGCTACACTGAAGAGACACTGCAAGCCAGCATTCACAAAACAAGTGTTACCAAGATTCTCCAGACCACATACTCCAACAACTGGATCGCGAAATTCTGCAACATTTGAAAAAGCAACCAATACGTGATCGGCAATGTAAAATCTAATCCCCATCTTTGCTCCTTCCCATACTAACACGTAAGACTGACTTTTAGGTGATCGTAGTTACTAGTTGTTACCCATAGACAGGTTCAGTAAAAAGACTGAATTAGGCCAATGCTTTTAACACCGCATTTTGACCCATTTTCAGTTTGACCAAGAACCTGAACGTTGTTTACTGGGAACGATGTTAAGATTTGCACCAGAAGGCAGCGACAAGAACAGTTTAAAAAGCGTATAAAGAAAAGGACGATGATACAAGAAGCCAAAATGATAGTCCCATTGGGTCTTCTTATTGATAGCCCTGGGTATACTACCTTTCATGGCCTATATATGCAGGGAAATCTCAGCCTTCGTCATAAGAGAAAATGCGCCAAAAAATCGGTGGTTTAAACCACCAGCTTCAGAGCTCAAGAAACTAACAGGAAGTATTTTCAAGGACGTTTATTGATGAACCCTGTGATTTATTTTTGACCATTTATTTGTGAAGGTGATACAGCGCGAAGAAAATATGACGCATTCATTCATTTATTTATTTACCATCTCACTGTTTAGATTTCATGATGACTACAGTAGGAAAATACGTTAAATTTTACGTGCGTAAATAGAATTTATAGAGACAATGTACGAAAGGCCGTCCGTAAACGCAGAAATTGAGCGGGGTTCAACTTCCATACATTGCCTCTACTTTATGCTTACGCACGTAAAAATTACACGACAGTGGAAATCCACCTTTACATTAGACGTGAACTTCGCGTATAAACGGAGAACAGCCCGTAACGCTAGTTCTTAGATAAAGCCCATCTTAGCTAAGATGAAGAAAACCTCGTAAAGATGACCTTCTCGTCTTACGTTAAACGAATGCCTCGTTCTATTGGCTATCAAGCTGAATTTAATTTGTTGGATTGCGGTTACCAATAGCAACACTCACACATGTGTGCGTCCAAGGTAAGCGCGTCTTTAAGTAAGACATGGCAGTGTAAATGGTACAGTTTGCATCTTAATTGCCCTATTATGTACTTTGAGCCAGTTTGACTAGCCTTCCTAGGGGATATGTTTTATACGGCAGGGTTCTATCTAGGGTTTATCGTTTGGAGGAAAACTCCCGAGTGGCCGAAGGCTACGGGCTTTCTAGTGGGATCCGGGGGCATGGAAATTTTTTGAAATTAATGTGCGCTGAGATGGAATCTGGTGCATTTTGAGACACAATTTTGAGAGATGTTACAGTGGTATTTTATTTTTTTTTTAGTTGTGATCATATTCCTTGTCATATACTGTCCTTAGACAGGGAATACTTAGTTCATGTGCGCTGAGCTCGTCGCGTCTGAATAATTTTTCCAATATACAGTCTAATCCCGGTAACTCGAACCCTCTATAACTCTAACCTCCCGCTAACTCGAAGTAATTTACGTTTCCCTTGAGATCGCTTTCTGTATAATTTTACCCTCGATAACTCGAACTCCCGGTAACTCGAACTATTTTCCCTTTCCCTTGAACGCTCGAATTATCGGGAGTCGACTGTAGTTACTTATATACTGTAATGATAACAATATATTTGTGGGTCTTTGTGGGGGAAACTGTGCATTTTGGGACGGAAGCTTATACCCCTCAAATACCCTAGATAGGGTGTTCTGTAATAAAGGTAGGAATGAAACAACAGAAAAAATTACCTCGAGGAGGCGTGACGGGTGAATCCTGAGCCGAATCATTCTCTTGATGGATAATATCTTGGTTTCTACAAAGCCAGGAAAATAATGTACTTTTTAACAGTCGCTGAGCTCTATCAGCCTGAATTAAGCTATACTACTTGCCGCTAGGATTGTAAATCACGCTATTTTTTGATTAAATAAATATAAACAAAAGAGTTTACTCATAGGAAAAGTAAAAACTGACCAACACATATTAACCTAGTGTATTACCTTGTGTCCACAGTTTTCGATGTTTCCTTGTTACTGCTTGTACTCAATGGGACAGTATCAACAACATCGTTTAGCTGTGAATTGACATCCAAAGGCATTGCTACAGCATCGTTAACTTATGCAAGTTTGATATCACTAAAAATTTCAATAGGAGCACAAGAAAAGTGATGTTCTGTGCTTCGTGGAAATTCCTTAGATCATTTGTAGTGTATTGTAGCAGGGATAAAGTAAGGTTAAATAGTAAAATCCCTTATTTTGCACTTAACCGATGGTCAGCCCTCGTTTCCGGAGAGTTCTGTCAACTTTTCGGGTACTAAGCCATATCTTATAATCAGAATCTAGAGAAGAGTGGAGGTGGGCGGGTGTTCTAACCAACAAATTTTCCAATGAATTTCTGCATGCCATTTATCGGAGTGTATGAAATCATCTTGATATTCACAAATACATATAAAAACATTCTTTAACCTCTCTTTGCTGTTCTTTCATTTCCTTATCACCTCGATGACCTTGAGTTGTGCGCACAGTAGAGATTTTGCAAAACAGCTTACTTAGCTCATCTAGAAAGAATAAAATTGTTATCAAATTTCTTTTAATGAACTTTTGAAGTATTCACATCAGAGCAGTTAACATCATTTTCTCAATGGAGACCCAAGAAGTAGCCAAATGTCAATGTTTTTAAAAAATGAATCATAACTCTGATTCAGTTACGCAACCTATAAAACTGTTGAAAGAGAACCTGAAAACATCCATTTGTCCCGAAAAATTTCAGTGCTACCAAAGCTGCAAAATGTTGGGAAATTCTGAGTCTAACGTAAAAGGTTAGGAAGGGTTAGTATCTAGACATCTCATTTCTTACCTTTAAATCTATTGTTGCTTTCAATCAGAACTTCGCGAGTGTTGCCTGAAAGCCTAGAATTTCACAATATTTAACAGGTAAGTTATCAATTAATATTAAAATGATTGGGAATTTATACTACAGTCATGGCATAGATCCGATTATTGGTGTTTGTTTGCTCCTCTTAATGGAAGTTAAGATACATATGTATATGACACAAGCTTAAATTGGCTTACCTGCTACTATGTCTCCGCGAAAGAAAGCTTTCTGTATTGAGCTTGCTGTTTTGAGCTTTAAGTCTCTCAACTTGAGTCTAGATTTGATAAAAATTAGTTTGTTATATATAATCGTACTGAAACGTTCTTATAACATGTAAAAGGCATTCAAATAAAGGTTGGTATTAATTTTGGTGTGTTTATACTTGCCTCAAGGTCGCCCTTTTCTTTTTTGAGAGCAGCAATAATTTTCCAAGCGTCGGTTGCCAATCTGTCCTGCAAAACCGCGAAAAACGGAAATGAACGTAAGCTTATGATAGGCTCATTTATAATCATAACCGCTGTTAACATGAAGGGAGGAAGATCCTAGTACCAGGAAGATGCTAGAAGGCGGATCATCCTAGCGCCATGTGTTTTCCGTATTCAGTTTACATGCAAAGGGTTGTACTTGTTCCTAGAGCTGGGATCTTCCTGGTAGTAGGATCTTCCTAGCTGACAGGTAGGAGGATCCTAGCACCATGTAAACTACCTTCGCTAGTACGATCCTAGTACTAGGGAAAAAAACAGACAAAAATAGCGGCGGGTCGTTCAGTGGCTAATCACGGCAATAAAGGCCGATCATTTCGTTTGGCGTTACCACGAGCTGATTATTGTGATAATTCTGCTGAAAGGAGGTTGTTAACGCGAGTAAAGAGAGCAGAAGGGCCAAAATTGTATGTTCGTTTTTGTCGCTCGCCACTTTTAATTCCTTCTCAAACATTCTATATTTGGGTACCACGCGGACCAAAATTTCTCCAAGTAAACCCTACGTTTAAAAATTGAAAAACTCAAAATAGCGTAAATCATGCCTGCACTTTTCAGTAATATTTAGTGCCTTAAATCCGACAAGACATTACTATAAAGCTTATGTGATGCGGTATTACAGGGAGCAAAAAAACAACGCACAAACCTTTTCGAGAGCTTTTAGTTGGGCTAACAACCGTGTCTGTTTCTCGTTCAAAGCTTCTTGCTGAAACATCCCCACAAGTGAACTAACTTGTTTCAACGTTTCCACCTGTTCTTCAGTTAAACTAAGCTCGGCCTTGCTTTTGTCTTGCTCTTGATGTGCTTCAAACGTTGGCAATTCTGGGAAATTAAAATGAATACGCTATTTAGGTGAACCTTTAAAATTTAAAGTTTCTTTCATCAGTTTAATACAACGGAGAAAAAGCACAATCAAGCATGACCTAAAAGGTTTGTTAAAACAACTTCTTAACTTACCTCTAGGAGTTATCGGAAATGTCTCAGTTGTTTCAACTGTCATTATTGCCTTCTTTATACGCAGAAATGATTGCAAGCTAATGAACTACTTTTAGCCAAAAACGTTTCGCCTAAGCACAGCACAAATGACGCGACCAACGGGTTTTTCGGTGACGTCATACTGATTTAAGGCGCGAAAAACTCTTTCAGGAAACTTTACATCTAAGGCACAGAGCAGGATTTTCGTTCTATGAGCGTTCTATTCCTAAAAGACCTAAACGAAAATACGTTTAGAATAATTATTTAACGGTTTTTTCATTTAGCAATGGTTGATTATGGCGTCTTATGTTATGTACGTGCCTGCTGATTTACGATGACCAAAACGTTTTTCCTAGAGTTAAGCTAACTTTACTAAAAAAACGACTTTTAAAACGCAGTTAGAAGGTAAAAACTCACAGGGTAGAAGTCTTTCATTTCACTTTTTCAGATTTTATCACGGTATCATTCTTTCTGATTTTACGATTTTTTTATCAACTGGAACGATTTCTGGATATGAAACGTCCCTATCGCTTGGTCAATACATCAAGGTCTCGGTCTGAGATTTCCCTGTAAAGACCAAACAGACGAGGTTAATAAGTTATTTATTATATGGTCTTGTCATTATGGACCTGAGCCTGCGACCAATTAAAACCAACACATGGTCAGGGGCACCCAACGGATCTGTTCCTCAAAATATCTGTTCTTCATGCAAATTTTTGCTGGCTGGGAGATGTGGAAGAAATAATAGTCCTTGGAAGGAAAGTGTTGCTGGGAAAAAGATAATTCAGGGTGTCAGAGGGGATTTGAAGTCTAGAATAGCTGCTACGGGTTGCTTGTATGGGTTGCTTACCACTCAAGATCTGAATTGTGCCCTATGAAAGTTCCCAGTAAGTCAGGTTGCAGGTTGTAAGGTTGCTGGCTGGGAACTCTTCCATCAGTCTTGCTGGGAGTGAGGAACAGATAATTTTTTTCCAGCAATCTCCCAAAATGCTTAAAATAGTCTCAGAAAACTTTATTCACGCTTTGTTGTTGTTTTTAGGTCTTTTTCTCAAAATTTCCCGTTGGGTGCCCCTGCATGGTGAGTGGATAACTTTAAAACAACCGCGACGTCAACTCAGCGAGTTGTAAACTTGAGGCCGCGATACGGTCAGATGACACTGGTCAGTGAATGCCCTTTCTGACAGCTATTAATTGACCATAACATATAAATGGTTTTCACCGTGACGTCATCAAATTGTAAAGTCAAAATAGCGAGGTTTTACGAATTCTTATTTAATACGCTAGGTTGAAGATAAACAAAAAGTAAATCTTTGTACAAGTTTACATTCCCGTAGCATATTTCATTTCGAAAATACAGCAATTTGAACTTCCGAGTTTCAAAGTGCGAGACTCCAAAATAGGAATGCTGTCTCGTTAAAAAAAGTCTCTGCTCTTGATTTTCCGCAGAATAACAGTTTCAAGTTCATGCTAGTTCTCGAGTGAAAAGGAAGAGCTTTTATAGAAAAAGTGAACTCCAGATGTTTTGTTGATTTCCGGCGGCTATATTGGTGCACCAAAACGGTACACCAATATGGCGTCTCCGTATATACAAAGCTCTACAAAGGTGCGTGAAACGTTTCGGCAAGTAACTCAGAAACTGTGGGCTGCAAAGACCTGAGACGTGGATAGATTGTTTATATATTAGTCTTTCATAACATTTCATTTTCTTGGTTTCTTCCACTGGACGGTTTCCAGTTGTTGTTTTTTGCTGCGTGACAGTGAAAACGATGTATACGTCCATTGGGATATCCACTATCAAGTTAAACACAGATTGTATATGCTTTGGACACGTAGCTAGGAATGCCTGGTCATTACAAGAAAACAGCCAATCAGAGCGCGCGCACTATTGTAGCCGTATAATAATTAACCCTTCGACGACTGCGTTAGTCGTTTTCGTTCCATATGGAACTATGCATCTTTTCCTTCCTGGACCTCTTTTACTTTCAACACAACAACAACAACAAGTCTATTTCAAGTTAAGATATTATAACTTAGAAAACTTGTTTCAGTTTAAGTTAATAAAATGGTAAGCAACAACGTCAGCAAAGACAAATCTTTCCAGGGATACCTCGTTTTGGATACCTGACCAATCATGACAGAGTTACACTCGCAAAAAAGGTAACATTTTGAGGAAAAATCCATTTCCAACTTCGCTGTTTGCATACTACTATTTGAAAAGTGAATTTGTCCCTTTCCTGAAATATTAGCCAGCCACAATTCTATGCAAAAGAAAGACGATAAAGTGGGCAACGAAGACGCTAATAAAGAAGAAAGGCAAAGCAAAAAAGGAGAGCAAGAGAAAGAGATGGAAATAGATTCGAAAAAAAAAAACGACAAAAAAAATGTCCAAATTTTGGCTTTTGCGCATGCGAGAAAAACAAAAGAGCCTGCTTAATTACGCCAGATTAGTCGGAAAATATGTGTTTTTTCTTGAAAAACTCATTTTTAGCCATTCTTATGCTAATGAGTCGAAAACTAGTCCAAAGAAGAGACGTTGGTGAAAAATGCGGTTTTTTCGCTGCTGTCCGGCCGTCACCAAGGGGCTAAAAAAAGTTACCAATTTGTTTCAAATTGACCTTTTTCCACATAAAAAAGTCAAATTTGCCAAATTCAGCACGAAACAGGTATACAACGTGACAATGAAGCAGTTGCAATGTTTATTGTTAAAAATACTTGTCAAAGTGGAAGGTCAGTTTAATCTTGAGGTCTGTTCAATTCACCCCTTTTTGTGTATCTGATGCGGAGAACTTTACAATTTTATGGAACAGTTGAAGGCTTCTGATAAGATATCTGCAGTTGACGTTATACTTGGCTCGTACATGCGGTTAAATGTTCATTTATGAACTATTATCGCTCTTCGGAGTGGCGGCTGGACCGTCTGTACGATCTGGCTTTACATAATGCCGTCAAAGCATCTGATGTCATGTTTTAAGTTTGGGAAAAAATATGCCAAAAATTATAAGCACTGGGCTGAATGTTAAGCCGAAAGCACACTTCAAGGTGCTGGTCTACTTTCCCGCGGTTATTGTACCTGCCGCTCAGTCAAATTTCTAAGTTGCAGTGATAAAACTAGCCAGCCAGATACCGTACACTGACTAGACCGCTGCTGTGATTGGGCGCTAATGTCAGTTGTCCCAGAAATGTTTACGGTAATTTTTATTTGTGCGAGATTATCTCATCTAAATTAAACACTTTCTTATTTTTTGTTCACCCTTAGAATTGCCCTTTAATTCTGTCACAATGTCAATTAAGTTCTGAAGCCTACTGGCTGTATATAGAAAAGTACTACTCAGTATCCATTTGAGATTTTTGACAAGCGTTAGGCTCTAATATGGATCATTTGGCGGGAAATCAAGGTCGCTGAACCTTACGACAGGTGGTCAGGGTAAGCGAGTAATCTTAATGATGTAAAATAAGTCGGTGAAATATAATGCTCTTGTTTCACTGATAAATTAGGTCGAAGATAAGTTTAATGCAACTACTGTTTTGCTGTGAAAGATAGATTCTTCAATTCTCCTCCGGATAATGAAACATTTGAGACGATTTTAAAGTTTCCATATTTTTCGTTTTGTGTTTTGCTGAGGGGCTTACTACATTATCCGGTTGTGGGCCGGGTCTGCTAAAACAGTGAAAGTGTACGTAGTTAAGTTAACTCTGTTCAGATATATCTCCCATTCAACAATAGTAAATCTCATACTGGGAAAGCTGCCACTGCAGTAACTTTTCTCTCACTTTGCGACATTCGAAAATTGCTGTTAGACGAATTCATTACGCCACCGTGTAGAATGTTTACTTTACTGGTGTTTATTCTAGTCTTGCTTTATTCTTTTTTTGGCGATTTCATGAGAAAACTGATTTTTTTTTCTTCACGCTATAGCGTTTGGAACATATAGTCAAACGCTAAACGTACCAGCCACAGTTGCTTAGTTGTAAACGGTTGAGAATCATTTTAGAATTCATAAGCGATATCATAAAAAATGAAAATACCTGTTTAAGGGGAGGGACGAGCCGAGAGACTAAAAGGTCTTAATACCAAAAACAGGCTACTTAGTGCTTAAACAATTAACATTGTCCATGAAGAACAAGCCTAATGAATCTTATAGGGAGCATAAAGATCAAAATTGGTAGGTAATTTCTACCTCTCCTCGCTAATTATATTAAGGGAGTAAATTAAAGGAGTAAAGAGAAAACAATGACCATATACGCTTAAAACTACTGAAAATTCGGCTTTCGAACTACATTATCTAGTTTAGATCTGCTATAAATGCTTTTAAGTCGAAAATAGAAGAACTACTGCAATAAATAGTATGCAGAACTTCCTTATGAGTTTCCACTACACTAAGTTTACCTTCGAAATCCACGGCTCACTGGTTTTCTAACAAGCACAGGCAGGAAATATGAAAGATTAAATGGTCTTATTAAATTTGTCTTTTTGTATTTTGGAGGGGGAAGGAAATAATGAATTTTTGTGCACGTCAGTAGAGTCATTTAATTTGGTAAAACTATAAGATTGGTTCAGTTAAAAGTGCTTGAGTCTTTTAAATTGGTCAGAAACCCAGCTCCAACACCTACCATAAGTGCTACCTGTTTAGAATACAAACATTAACCTAATAAACAAGGCATGACGAACACATGTCAAACGTCTGAAGCCGGACCCCTTAGTCAAATCCTGCTAATTTTCACGGCAATCATACCAATCATTTGTCGTATGGTAATACCTCGTTATACTTAATAAGTCTCAATAGCTAAGGATACGTAACTAGCCGCGTATGTATGTAGGCCTAGGCATACTAGCATCTA